TGAAACGAAATTTTACGGCAGCAGGAAGCGAATTTCGGTTTAGGCGTTTCGGAATTTAACAACAAAGGGGAATGGACGCATTATCTAAAAATGGTGATTTTTTGCTCTATTTACGCGAGGAAAATGATTAATCGCTGCCGTTTGCCAGTCAGTGAGCTTGCTTAATGGATTAGGAAATGCCAGTTTGCATTGTTTTTATGCAGACGAAAATTCCTGACGCCTTCTTCACTTTTGCTCCCGAACAAAGCATCCAATAATACTACAAGTGGGGGATGGACGTTACTTTGCAAAGGTTCGTGCCACTTTGCAAATCCAGACGTTGTCCATTCCTTAGTGTTTTTATTGGCAAAAAGACTTTGCACGACTTACTGATGCTAAAACCAGATAGTGAGCCTTCAATTATAGCCCATTTCATCCCTAAAATTCTCCTTACTTACTTCTTTAACTTCTGAGCGGTTATTTCGTGCGCAGAGCATTCTGTAATTACTTCACTTGGAAGTGTCCAGGGGAACATAAGAATCCTGCTTTTTTGAACACGAAATCAGAACTAAAACACAAAGAGGAAGAGAACAAGATGTACTTTTTCTGTGAAAACTCCCATCTTTAATTAAACACATCAGTCTAGGTCATGACTCTGTATTTTGCCCCACAACTGCCCATTTCGATGCAAGTTTTTCTTAAGCAAATAATCCAAAACGAAGATGGGCATTTTTTCATTTGATGTACTTACATATATGCATGCAGTAGAACCTCGGTTTTAGGGAGATTAGGGACCACAGCCACATGCGGATAAATAGAATCTGTGAATACTTGAGACCCCTCTGTGAACCTTTGCGACTGCCTATTTTAATGCTATCATTCTTAAACAATTTAGCATTATTTCATTGCCATATAACAACACTACCCTTAAACATATTTAGCCTACAGTTACTCGTGAACACATCTAAGACTGTTAATATTACCAAGTCGAAAAGTAATTGAGTACTCCTATATTTTTTTATCTATACACAAAGAGCAAAGAAATCAGCGAATACTGAATCGCGAACAGACGGGCATCTAATGCTGACCTGCGGGAGCAGTCTTGAAGATTTACACAACAAAAGTTATAGTTTCCTAAAAAATTTCATGGTCCTATATATATGCGCGTATTTATATATGGTATGGTAGAGGGGCGCTCGTCGATCGTGTTACGGAACTCACTCGTCCCTTTGTATACAAGGGCTGCTAGTTGGGCTCGAGATAGAGCCCTAAGGCACAACAGGACGAGTGAGTTCCGTAAAATCGATCGATGAGAGCCCCCCTCCCATCATGTACAAATAAACATTGATAAAAGAAGGCCCGTCGTGAATTTTCACGCTGGTTAAGCCAACCCCTAGTCTGATGAGATGAATAGTAGGAATGTGATAATCGCACCAGAGCGCTTGGTGACAGAGAATACACCGACAGACAGACGTTCATATGAGGAGTTGAAAGCCGTGTTATGATAGGTAACGGAAGTTAGAAGAAGTGCTGTGAGTTTCAGTTGTGGTTTACCGTGTCGAGAACGTGTCCAGTCTGTGAGATTCTGCACGACTGCTCTAAACAGCACTTCATACGTGTCATTTTGTAATATTCAACTTTGCAAACGATCTTCGGCATTGTCTTGCAGTTGGATGAAAGGATTTTCAAAGTTGACTTCTAGTTCTAATCTGCTTAATCTACCATCTAGTGACAAAATGTCATTCAGTAGCTTATCACGTGTCAAACTGACACAATTACGCACGTGTCCGGCCGGATTACTCTGCGACACTGTCTGCGCTTTCGCATGGTTGACCCCAACGGGAGCCTTGTCAATTTCGTCACAATCCGTCCCGAGGTTGGTTGTGCGTATAACTGTCCTACCTTGCTCACTCGCCCCCCCCTCTCTTCTTTTTGTGTGCTTATCGCGGGCAGATTACGATGTAGCTCGTTTATTTTGTGGGGGTATATTGCTTTCAAACTTGCTCTCAGTGGGTTGTGGTTGGATTGCGCGGTTCCTTCGTGCATAGTACGCATAGGGAATTCACCAAGTAAAGCTGCTTCCGTAAGCCGACTGTCTTTAACGAGATCGCATTTAATTGTCAACACAGAAGTAAAAGATACCTCCTCAAGCAGACTCCTCGGCTGTTGCTGGTGAGAAGGAAACCACGAATCAAAAAGGATTGAAGTGAAACTTGGAAAAAAGGAAGTAAACATGTCAAGAAATGTCGAAAGGCCATCGCTGACACGATTAGTTACCTGCCGATGGTATTCAGTTCCATAATACCTTACTTTATGGTAGGCTTTCAGCGCACTAAGTAAATTGTTGGGGCATGTGATCTCCACGTTATATTTTATGAGTTGTGTGGAAGACCCCGGGTGGTCTGCGAATACCTTATGCACCTACGAAGATAATACTTAGTGTAAAATTCACCAAGGCAGTGATTCGCTCCGAAGGCTTCGCCCGGACAGTAACCCGATTTTCGCGGTTTATATTCAAATTCCTGTATCACATAGGATTCGTGACGGTGGCGAGTCCGCGATGCGAGAGTCTGGGAGGGGAGGGGGGGGAGAAGAATCGATTAAACAAGACCACCAGAAGAACCCGCAATCTGACCAATGCTGGGGTCTGTGCACTACCGCCGCTGATGCCGTCTGTGTTTTTCTTATCGTTTCTGTTGCTACTGCCACCACTGCTTCTGATGCCACGCATTTTGCTGCGTGGTTTAAGCCGCCTCGGGCAGTCCTCAAGGCAAAGGCACCTTAGTCCAATCGCACCAGTCTGGAGCACTGCAAATCACCACGATGCAGTCTTGCGACTGTGATCAGACATCTACGCTCTTGGCTAGGCGCCTGCTCACATTGCGATTACGTCATGCGCAGGTTGCCAGACCGGACCATATTGTAGACGGGTCGACAAAGAGCCCTCTTACGTCAACGGTCGTGCTCGACGCTACGGGCTCGTTGGCGCTCAGTTGACTAGGATCATGACTGAGTCTTCCCTCGACAGCAGCTGGATGGGTTTCCTTAATCGAACAAGGTGGCCTTGTCCTTCCTGTCGTAGTTTCTAATTCAACCGAGGCCGCCGAGTCTTTCACAATTGGACCGGATGAATTATTCGAATCTGCCAAAAAATACTCTGCCTAAAAAAGCGTTGGCTGCCAGTAAAAAGATGGCAATGTATGCAAGTCCAAGACTTCGCCTCCCTACTTACTGGAAAGTGTTGACAAAGAAACCAAGCAGAAAAGTGGACGTTTTCGGATTTTAGGCCGTAGATGAAGTCGAGCCCTCGTCCAATGAGTTGGCTTAGATACATGCATGTCCAACGAAACTGCTCGTCGTCCGGAAGTACATGCGCACTAATGAAATAAACGTGCGGAAAATCAGGTGTACCCTTGGCAGCGCATAGGTAGCGATGATGATGATGACGACGACGACTGTGGTGGTGGTGGTGGTGGTGGTGGTGGTGGTGGTGGTGGTGGTGGTGGTGGTGGTGGTGGTGGTGGTGGTGGTGGTGGTGGTGGTGGTGGTGGTGGTGGTGATAATGACAAGCTGGCATGCAACAGTATCTAACGGCCATCCTTTGGAAAAATAAGGGGATGCCATCTTATTGTATCGATTCTGATATTTGAGTGTTCCAGGCTTCTTATACACCGGAGTCACCTTCTTTGAACCCTGAAATCCGTAAAGGCCTTGGCTTGAGCTCCTGATGGGTACGAAACAAGACGACAACATTTCAAAATCTCACTAGCGGCCTCACCACACTGACGGTAACATCTTGTTCGTTCAATCATGTCGTGTCATTCCAAAACATATGATCGAAAAAGACCGAAGTCTAGGGATGCTAAAACTGCTATGACAAACTGGGCAAGGGCAGAAAGCCCTGTCGGCCGCCTTCGGGCCCACGTCATGTTTTGTCCTCCAGCATAAGAGGCCTCAACCAGAAGTAAATACGGCATAGAAAATGTGGTACTTGCGTACAGCCTCTAAGAGGACCCCCGCGACCCCAGCTTACTTCCCAGCATTTAATTTTGAAAAACCCGAGCAAGAACAGGCAAGAAATCAAGGCACTTTGTCCTGCGAGCTAGCGTCTTTCGCGCATAAGTATAATATTTGTATCAAAATTGTGGTCAAACTCTGCCTCTGAGAACCGTGGAAAACGGACCCCCGCTCCGAGACAGAAGAAGAGGGCCGTAGAGCAGAGGTCATCCACCCGGTGGGTGCGGGGTGACGAATAACGACAGCAATGGAAGTTAGTGGAGGATGTGGGAGACAGGGGGGGGGAGATAATGGTAAGTCATGAGGATCCAAAATAGTCACCAAAAAGTTTGGGTAGAAGAAAATTGCCGGCACATGATCAAAATGAAGCCTGCTTCCCCTGCAGGATCCTGGGAGCTAGAGGAGGCTGACAGTAAGTGAATCTACTCGGAGTACAACCGGCGGATAAACAGACGTGCGCGCAGGCAGGCAGAAGCAAATGTGTCACCACGTCCCGTCCTCCCCAAGTCGACGTACACATGCGGAGATCAGTAGGTGGGCGTTGGGAGGCGTGAGCGAGCCGAATAAGTGGGAACCGGGGGGGGGGGAAGGGAGGTTCAGGGTCAGTGACCGACGTGACGGGGGGTGACGTGACGGGGGGATAATACGATGTTGCAGGACATCAGCAGCAGACGGGCAAAGACCACATGTAGAGGGCGGGACCGATCTAGTCACTTGCTTTTAGACCTCGAACCTGGCTAGACCTCCGTTGCTGAAAGGAGAAAAAGAGAGACGCAGTGAGCAAACGTGGACGCTATGTATGGCAGCGCAAAATTATCACCAATGGGATGTCTAAAATTGGTTGACCCTCCTCGTTATCAGGCCAAAAAGACTAAATTAGCCAAATGCAAACTACGGAACCATTCAGATTCAGATATTAACGGAAGGCCACATCAAAACCGCTGAGGCGGCATGGGTATTTCTTTGCCGAACAGCTAACAAAGCGCTATTTAACCGGTCAACGCATGCAACTGGGAAAAAATGTCTGGGACGCTGCCACTGTTGCTGCTGTCGCCGCCGATGATGATGATGATGATGATGATGATGATGATGATGATGATGATGATGATGATGATGATGATGATGATGATGATGATGATGATGATGATGATGATGATGATGATGATGATGATGATGATGATGATGATGATGACCAGGTCCAGGCTCAAACAAAGGGGAACTCAAACAACCGACTCACGTGTCCCGCAAACACGGCGTTGGGTACGATGGGCCGGCAACGGAGAATAATCCAGAAATACCTACCTCGGTCTCCACTGCCCCTACCGGTACCCCCATCTCTAAATATATCTGAACGTATACATCAGACATCTGCATAACCTCCCCAACGGGAACGCCTTCAGCATACGAAGGACACCCGACAGTTCGGCCGTCAATTCCGACGTCCACCGTGTGCTCACTAGTAAGATAGGAGTGAGGACGGTGACTGGCGTATAAATTAGTCTAGTGTGGTAGTAAACTTGCGCAGCTTCTACCACACTCTCTCCCCCTCCCTCACCTGGACCAAGTCAAGAACACCGGAGGTGGAAGAGGCTGCAGGTGGCAGAAACCCGCACTTAGGCGTGCACCCTCTGGTCCACAGCAAATGCTTTCCCAGGATTTTAAACAACAACCACAAAAATGGCGAGCAGTAGGGATCCTATTTGGCGCTGCTTGAGCCTGCCACAGCACCCCCGAATGTTAGTATTTGTTATGGGTGCGCATTTTCGATAACGCCCGCCAGACTCCGATCTATCCCGCGATCTAGCCACCCGCAAACCCATCGCGGTGACGACGGAGTCAGTGCCTGGAGAGCTCCAACCAAACCCATCACGTATGCCTTCTCCAAACCACACTATCCCAGGGCATTCAAACATCGCATGGGGTCACTCGACCGCGTGTGTGTGTGTGCATACATGAGACTGTTTAACAGGATAGCAGTCTAGGGCTCCTATATAACACTTTACACCCACACAAACGCGCTTAGACTGCGCATGACTCTTCGGTCAAGTGCGCGCAGGTGCATCAAAAATCAGCAGAGCATCACACCAGTCACGCAACAATCACGACTGCAGCGTTGTACAGGAGCACATCTCACTCCGGAGTTTTAGTGAGATATGCGAATGTAGGTGAGACTAGCATGCGTGCCACGCGCATACTGTGGCCTCCAGGGCACGTCAGCCATTGCCTCCAGTCATCACGCCAGTCAGGTGACAAGTCTGATTAGGCCGTCGGTGCATGGGGGGGGGGGGGAAGACGGGTTAGTGTCTATTATGAAGCCTCTTTCCTTACTGCTAGACAACGCATTAAATGCTGTTTTAAAAAGTTGCACGACGCACAGAAAGTAGTCGTCGGGACGGTTTCCAACCGATAGGATAACTCGGTTGTCTATTGAAGTGAGGGACAGCCTGCAATACCATCTTTCGAAGGTTCCTTGAGATCGAAACAATACCCTCACTAACCGGTATGTTCGGCGACAAGTAGTCGACGGTCACTTTCCTCAGCACAACTACGGTAGTCACATTTTACAATCCTACTGACTAGGCCCTGAGCAAATCGTTGCAACCACACGCACCCCTGCGCAGAGAATGCTTGAACGCTGCACAGCATAACTAGATCACACTTGTGAGTTCTCACTTCGATTGCGGCTCCGACTAGCCCATCGAGTCTAAATATTTAGGGGGTGAACCAATTCTTTACATTCTTCCAACGGATGTTGCTCTGTTCATGTATATCCGCCGGTATCAGGAGGGGAGTACGTCCAGCAAGGCACATTTAGTATCATGGCAATCATCCTTCAAGTCTGTGCCCGATGCAAGGTTGCAGTCTCCATTGATTTACACTTTCAGGACATCTGCCTGGTCCCTCCCCTGATCGGTCATCCACGATTCAGTAGGAGAAAAACTACCTGCCTCCAAGTCGGATATCTTTTCTGTACTCCCAGCGCACACATCATGCCTTTGACTTGTTGCATCGACGTGTTTTCTATTTGTTATGTTTCCGCTGCGAACCATAAGTCCCGCGGCAAAAACTAACGGTTGTCTTCGATTTTTCCTGTATGCGAAAAGGCCCAGTTTTTTCACCCATAATCCGTCACATCGGTGCCATAACGGCACTAGTTTTGGAGAGTGGGAGAGGGGGTGGGGCATCGTACACTCCGTCATGGCGTCTTTATCGACTGTTCATCTTCTGTTAACCTGTTAGCAGACTTACAAAAGATGCTTAGTCTGGTTGGGACGAGCACGCGTAAAACCGCCCCGGGCGTGTGTGGCGCTATTTTGCCACGGTAACCTAGCAACGCGTTCACCGATTGGTCGCCCGTCGTTTTTATGGGCCGCACGCCATTCCGTGTGCCTCGCACATTAAATGGTATGTGTATGGTAGAACAATGGCCAGCGCAGATGGCATAGCGAGACCGACAAAATCATCTTTTGTGCTCCTTGGACTGGTGAACGGCTGAATCATCGAGGGAGGCGGCTGGGAGTCTAGTAGATCATTCCAATGCATATTCCGACAATGCTGACTGTCGGCTAGCAGCTTATCAATGTGCGCCGTTATTTTGCCGACTGATAGAGCCTGCTTTAAGCAAACATATTTCACACGCGCATGAATGAGGTGGCAGATACTCAATACTGTAATAAATACGGTCCCTGACCACCTAACCAAACCATGCTGTCGGCTGGAGGGAAAGAAATCGAGCTTACCGAACGTTGTTGAGCACTGGCGATCTAGCCGAAGCCATTAATAGTCTACTGTAAATTCGCGAGGCAAAAGTCACACACTTGTCTCCTTCGGAAAGTCCCGTGCATGTTGAGGGCTCAGACGTCAGGTGTCGTCCAGTGGGGGCTGCTATGACTCATGGTTTTGGATCAGCGCCTTGGTCAGCGCCTTCCGACCTGCCATATGCGGCAGTGCGAAGCGGTTCGCTGCCTGTAGATGATGTACTCCGTTGCCGCTGTTGTCGGCCATGGATGGATATTTCTTAGGCAACGACAGTAAAACATCCCCTCCCTCGTCTTTCACGCGCACAGCTCATTATTCACAACTATACAGGAGAACTGGCCGAGCAGAAGCCTAGTACATACGCTCTTTGAGGTGATGGCAATATCACGACGGGTCCATGCCCACCTGGGACCATCCGCATTATGAGGCCTGTAGTGGACAGCCATAATGGCTACGTCGCGCCTCTCGCTAGCGCCTGCACCTACGTCCTAGCGACAGCCTGCTATGGCACGCACGTCTGCCCGGCTTCGATTTGTCTCGTTGCAATTCACTGTCTGCATCACGCATCCGGCCGATTCTCCGCCTGCACCACGCGAGGCTTGCCACTACCTTCACGTGGACTTGGGGCCAATCAACGCAACTCCTATCGCTGATTGGTAAGACAGGCGGAAACAGCCCAGAACACTAGCGTAAACAATCTGTCACGACACTTTTGCAGCGGCGACCTTCGACAAAACAGGGCTCGTCGCTCTCGCGGACGCCGCCTCCGCGGCGCCGGATGCATCCTCGTCCGGTTGCCAACTTTCCCTTTCACTATTCTGTGCAGAATAAAGTGTCCTAACCAAATGGCGTCCTGCTTCTAACAACTTGGGATATGGCCTGAAGTTGTGGCGTACTGAGCGTACACTATCACCGCTTAGCCGCTACAGGCCTTCAATTAGAACACATCACTTTGTCTCTCATCACCAAAGTGCTGGCTTCCGGAGTGAATCCAAAATGTCAGGCGCGTCTTCTGCTCAGCTGACCGTCACCGACTGTAGGCTGTGCGCTTCGCGTGGCCTGAACTCCTGTCAGGCGGATACGCACAGTCGACTAAACCGAAAGCAGATCAATCAGGCAGTTAATCGAGCGGTCGTCTGACGACGGCAACTGTCTCGTGGAGTTCTGCCCACGAGTTCGGCTGAGCCTAACTTCCACTTGCCGCCAATTTTGAAAGTCTGAGATATCGCTTGTGACTGCGGGTCTGACCTCAACACAGCCAGCAGAGGACGACGGCTAATGTCTCCTCCCTAGAAACGAGGTCTCTTGGGAGCGCACTACGTGGTGGTTAAGTATCCAGTCGGACTTGTGGGCGACCTGCACTCAGAACCGTGTATGGAATATAGCAGACCGCGGTCTCCGAGACTCCTGGTATGTCCAGGAGGCCCTATAATGACTTTCAGCGATTGGCCATCTCGGCCCTGTCTATTGGAGAGCAACGTCTTCTCTGACGTGCTGTCCGAAACTTTGATTGATACGTCTCGAGCATCTGTACTTCAAATCTGGAGGCTGTCAATCGCCGGCACAAGCCAAAAGGCAAGTCACCAGGGGCAGTTAAGATGAGGACTCGACCGACATTTCGGATTCACACTAAACCCATCATCAAAAACGGCAACGGAGAAGAGGGGGATTGGGAGCACAGAGGTCGCAGTATCTATAGGATGGGTGCAGTTGCTACGGAGCCTCTTGTTTGCTAAAATTAGCCACTCCTGCATTCATCACAGATGGCCGCACTAATTGCGATGATTACTTGACCGCCTAAGTCGGTAGAGGCCAAAAATTCACCACTGGTGTTTATTGTTGACTTAATAATTATTCGGTGGGTTGACTCACTGATACTACCACTGAGGGTGGTGCTCGGGCGCGCACTCCCTGCTAGACAAATATGTCTATTAGAATCATCAGCACTGAGTGTGCAGAGGAAGCCCATCGCACTTCTCGATTGCCTATGGGCCGGGGAAACACGAATAAAGCAGCTCGCGGCTCAAACGAGAACTTCCGTCTCGCAGAGCTTGAGTGTCAGGTCATGTCCCTCGAATGAGCAGCCACCGGGATGGCCATTTATGGCTTATTGGCTGTCGTCTGCCAGTCATACCCAACCCCGAAGTGCGAAACATCCTTGTCTTTGTCAGTAATAACATACTGCCTATATCGTGCGCCGCTGTGCGGCTGCTGGTTGGGCTCGAGAGAGCCCGTAAGGCACAACGGAACGAGAGATTTCCGTAAAAACGATCGGTGAGCGCTCCCTACCATTGTATATTCCTGATCGAAACTGACAGGGCAACGGGCTCGTGGCCCAGTGGTTAGAGGCGTGGACTTCTAACTA